GTCAAAAATAAAAATAAAAAAGTTAGATCAGGCATGTTTGGGAGGCAAAAATACATGCAAACAGAAAAATTCATTATGAAGAAGGGCCGGGTGATGTTGGCTTCCCAAGGCCTTGTTCAGTTTATGTCCTACCCCTCCAGTGATGTCTCCCCAGATTAGCTGTGTCCATGATGAGCTCAGCCTTATTTAAACTTAAAATAATTACTCCTTTACCACTTTAGGGCAGCTGGTTTATAACTTTCCTATAATAGTTCTCAGAAGTGTGACCCAATGGTAGTTGTTTAATCTCTTATATGATAATATTTATAAATTACCCCAAATAGTGTATCATGAACAGTTAAGTGCCGCGGGTGTATTCTTTTTGTTTGGTTTGGTTTGGTTGGTACCAGAGTTTGAACCCAGGGGCTCTTAACTTCTGAGCCATATCCCCAGCCCACCCACATATGTATTCTTTTTTTTCTTTTTTTTTTTTTTTTTTTTTCGTATTGGGAATTGAACCCAGGGGCATTTATCCACTGAGCCATATCCCAAGCCCTTTTTATTTTTTTATTTAGAGACAGGGTCTCACTAAGTTACTTTGGGTCTCACTAAGTTGCTGGGGTTGGCTTTGAATTCACAATCCTCTTGCCTCAGCTTCCTGAGCCACCAAGATTACAGGAGTGCACCACCACACCCGTCCACACATGTATTCTTAAACGAATAAAGCATGTTATTCACCAAGCTACCAGGTTCACCTCATGTTGTTCTGTCTTCCCCCTCCACATTCATCCCAGCCACCGTGACCCTTCTTTATGCCTTACAAACATGACAAGAATGTTCGCCTCAGAGCTACTGATCTGAGTTGGAATTCATCTGATCATTTCTGCCCCTGCCCCCTACAAAGCACTGTCTTCGTTTCTTTAATAAACTGCTTTTTGAGCATGGTCAATTCAAAACTCTTTTGCTGACAAATATCAGGTTGGCTACCTCAGAATCCCCTAGGGATGAAGTTTTAAATCTAGACTTCCAGAATAGTTTTCCAGGGAGGTTGATCAAATAGATCCCAGAAGCATCTAGAAATCTATAGGCTTACAAGGCTTATGAGTGGCTGTGATCCAGAGGCAGGTGTGGGGAGCTCTCATTGATCAGGCGCACATCCACCTCCCTCCTTAGGTTGCCAGCACCTTGATGTCAGGGTCTGTACCTCATCCCCCTTCATCCCCTCTTCTGTGTTTTCATGAACCACATGTTTGATTCATGTGCTCTCTTGATTTTCCTCACAAGTTTATCTGATAAGAGTAGACTTGTGGGGAGCTCATAAAACATGGATAGCAGCAGAAGTCCATGGAAGCATGTGGGGCAGTGGTCCCCACACTTCAATTGCATGAGAATAGTATGGAGAGCCTGGAGTTAGGACGCCTAAGCCAGTCTTTAGGGATGGATCAACACACTCCTCCAGAGCCGATTCTGATGCCCCCAAATCTAATAAGCAATGATGAGATACATAATAAAAGATGTTTTATGTTACATTAACTATTAGCCAATCATTGAGAAAACTTATTACAAAAGTGGAGATAAAGGTGACTATATTTATAGAGTACAAGAAATTCTGCTATCATGCAACATATGCACAGATAACAGGAAAAACTGGGATTATGGGGAAAGTGGAATTGAAGAACAATATTCAAAACCTGTAAATAGATACACATTTCCCCACATTTTTTGGTGCATTATAGTTGTACATACTGATGGGATCTGCTGTTACATATTCATACATGCACACAAATAGAACAATATAATTTGGCCAATATCACCCCCCAGCATTGCCCCCTCCCTCCCAATCTCCCACTTCTTGGTTCCTTTCTTCTACTGATCTCCCTTTGATTTTTAGGAGATCCACCCCCAGCTTTGTTTTCCTTTTTCCTCTCCAGCTTCCACATATGAGAGAAAACATATGACCCTTAACCTTCTGAGTCTGGCTTATTTTATTTAACATGATGATATCCAGTTCCATCCATTTTCCTGCAAGTGTCATAATTTCATTTTTATTTATTTATTGCTGAATAAAACTCCCTTGTGTATAGACACCACATTTTCTTTATCTATCCATCCATTGATGGGCACCTAGGCTGGTTCCATAGTTTGACTATTGTGAATTGTGCTGCTATAAACATGGTTGTGCATGTATCACTGAAGTAAGATGACTTTAATTCTTCAGGGTAAAACCCAAGAAGTGGTATAGCTGGGTCATATGGTGGTCCCATGCCTAGTCTTTTAAGGAGCTAGAGGCACATTTTAAAATAAGACAGATACCAACTTAAAAATTTTTTTTAATTAGAATACAAAAAAATGACACTTTATCTTGAAACACTTGAAGCCGGTTGCAAATATTGACTTATGAAACAATGGAGGCCTATCTGAAGTGCAGTGAGGTTGCCACACCAGATTTGGATGGGGGAGACTCTTTGCACACAGCAAACTGAGGTAGCTGGCAGGGGTCCACATCGTGGGCACCTTTGTGCTTTGGGTGTTCTCGCAGGGCTCAGTTCAGCTGTGCAACTGCACACGAGCAAACACAAAATTGGCATGTGCTAAAAGTATCCTAATCTGTCGATCTTGTTGGAACATTTTTTTTTTCAATAGAAACCTGCAGTAAGTCTGAGTATACTCTTTGTTCTAGATTTAGCTGCCCTGTGACTTCTCATCTTCTAACTCTTCACTGAACTTTCCTCCAAAAGGTTTTACCCTTTGTCCTGACCACATTCAGTTAGGGCCTCTTTAAACTGATTGTGAAGCCTGAACACCAAAGGTTGGAGTCTTTGTCTTGCCTCTTTTAGCTTACTCTTGACTACCCTGTCCATGTGCAAGGTCTCACTTTATAAATGTGAGGGGAGTGAACAGCCCCCACACCTGCCTTGGAAAGACTCTACTTGCTGCTGTCTCTCAGGATGGTGGGTAGCTCCTTTTGGGCTGGGGGTGTCTCTGACCACTGCTTACTAATTATCTGCTTTTGCTTTTAATTTATCAGGTTCTGGGCATGACTGTGATGAATAAGGTATGAAATGCTTTATAGATCAATCAATCACACTCCCTTGAAGTATACCAAGCATAGATGTCCTCTAGATTTAATTCCAGTGGAAAGGATCTTGATGTATAAGTGATTCATTCAATTCTCTAGCCAGAATCCATAAGCTTAATCCAAAAGTGGATAAGGTGCTGTATTCTGGTTTGAGGTTGTTTGCAAGTTGATTTGTAAACTAGAACAGTGATTTTCAAACTTTGGATTGTGACCCACCAGTCAAATTAATAGTTCATAACAGCAAAAAAATAATAATAATAATAATGGAATAAAATAAAAGATAAAGTAGAATGTCTTTCATATAGCAATAGCAAGTATCATTCAACTTTTCAGTTATATATTAATTATGTTTTACACAAGTTCTAGATAGAATGGTAAACACTTTTCTACCATGGTTTATGATCAAAAAACATCTGAAAACCACTGCTGTAGAGAAACTTTAATCTATGGCAAATAATAAAGATAAGATATTGACCT